AGTAGTCGAAGAATCAGCAGTGGTAGTAGTATTTAGTAGTAGTAGTAGCAGCAGCAGCAGTAGTAGTTGTTGCTGCTCGTGTTGCAAGAGTAGTAGTACAGCAGTGAAGTGGCAGAGCAGTAATCAAGAGGGTTTAGGGGCACCAAGAGCTAACCACTTCAAGATAACGACAGCTACTAGTTACCAAAACCAAACGAAAGTGTATTTTGAAGATTTGTTCCTTCGTGCTACACTCCCCTTGGTACCCGAAGCGCGTGGATCTCACTTTAGTCTCCCCTCGAGTCTCTCTTGTTGTCCACATTCCTGAAAGGGCAAACCAACCTGTTCTCTGTGCCCTCATGTCTCCCGATTTTTGTGTCTTTTGATAGGTCAAGGGTGTGAAGACTGTAGTTGTTCTCCGCATCGCATGCGGTTGGGTTTTCTACTCGCACATGTATACCACCCTTGGTTTACCGAAGGACGACTCTCCAAGCCAAAACATCTCAAAAGCAGGAGGTCCAACAGTCCATGCTGCTGGATTCTTGCTGAGCTCCTTGCTCCGACCACCTGCCCGAGTCCTGCACGGAACTGACGGTGTCCGGCAAGATGTACGTGTATAGACATTGCACTTCTGTACGCTGCGTGCATGCTTATGCGGCATTCACAGGTATGGACTGCACACATGCTCATGACAGGGTATGATAACTTGTACAATATATGTATTTGTGTGTGTGTGTGTGCGTGAGTGTGCAGTCCTAGCCGAGGAATCTCTCCTTTAAATTCTCGGCCGGTGGGTCTGCAAGGTGTAACTTAGCCTCTTCGGCCGCAAACAGCGCAACCAAGCGGAACGCGAGAAGCACCCTACATCCCCCAGCGTCTCACTGAACCTGACACAGACGGTCCTTCTTGCAGCTTGCCCTTCGCCATGTCAAGCAGGAAAGGGCCCAATACTTCCTGTCCAGATAGTCAAAAACAGAAAAGGTCTGCCGGCATGCAGATCCCAAACTATGCACGGGTCTTACGATTTTATCACAAAGCTACAGGGCATCTGAGACTTGTCTATACAATATCGTAGGTTTGCACACCTTGCATGGAAGATTTCGGCACGGTTGCAAAATCTTCTCGCGCTCACCATCCCATGATAGCAACACGAACTAGCTACTTCCCCCGAAGCTTTGGATGCTGTTGGCCAAGGGAACCTGCGTCTGAGCCCTTCCGAAGGAACTCTCAACGATTTTGCTTGCACGCAACTGCGATTTTGTGAACCTCTGCTCCATCGAAGACCCTGAATACATACCGCCGTCGGGAGCCGGACCCCTTCTTGAAACGCTTTCGGTGGCATGTTCTTCCCAAGTCTCGCAGCATGACAACTGAGCTGATGCAAGTGGCTTGACACAGCTTCAGAGACTCCGAGGTTGCGCTCAAGTGCTGTTGGGCGCGCGTTGCACGTACTGTATCTGGACTGTGCATGGGGTGGGCTTGCACTCTGAAAGGCAAAACCTTACATCGCCTGAAGCACGTAGACGGTATTTGCGATACATTGCCCATCTGTTGTGCGTAAACGTACTCAATGCCTCGAACAGCTCTCCATACTCAGGCGTGCCGGGCTTGTACAGCTCGAAGAGGGCCACCCTGAACAAACGAGAGAGGGCGAAGTCCCGGGACGGAGTGAAAAACGGGTGGAGCTGGAACTTGAAGATGTGGGTGTGAAATAGTTGGCCGGCACAACGTCAAGCGAACAGCGACAAAGTTGCTACGAGATCATGACGTGGGTTATCAAAAGACTCCGGCTTGAGAACACAGGACCGGACAAGCAGTTTCGCACGCGCATGGTCTCTAGCCATAAGAGCATCGAGCTGAACATTCAGAACAGCCCCGGGCTCAAAGAGCGAAGCAGAAGCCCACAAACATCTGACACGGTCAGGTGCATCTAGAATCTTAGCCAACGTAGCCATCCCTGCAATACCTTCCACAACCGACGGGCAATGACGAAGCATCAAGCACTTACATGCTCAAGAAACTACGCCCAGCTCCCCACCCTCGGCTGTCAGCCCTCATGAACTCCTCGAACTTATCCGGCCGGAATGTCTGATACCTGGCAGTCAATATGTCTTTGCCGGGTTTGAAACCTGAAACCTGCACGCCGACGGACACCAAGAATGTTGGAGCTTACTTACGGAACACATGTTAGGGTTTAGGGTTTAGGGTTTAGGGCTTCGGGTGACCAACATCGTGACAGGCAAAGTGTACTGAGGGCTGTTTCAACTGAGAGGTCTGGACTTGTGATTGCCATGAACACCGAGCAATACTGGAGGTTGCACCTTCTTCTTGCTGTTTTTACTGCCAATGGGGTTCCTATCAACAGCTACTGCTGAGCATGGTGTTTGCAGCTTAACGTGGATCTCAGAAGGGCAAACAATCAAAGTGAAGTGAGTTTGGACACATTCCGGCCGAGCGAACGGGTACTTCCAGTCCCGAACCAGCAAACGAAACATGAACGATTCGGCATGTAAGTTCGAGCGGCTCATGTGCTCGTGAAAGGTTCTAACACTTACATTTCTGCAGCAATTTCTTTGCGGAGCTCCCAAAGCGGGGGTCCTGCTCATCTCAGCTTCCACATCAGGCTTCAGGGACTCCCAGATGTCCAATGCTCGGGCCTTCCTCGCCTCACGCACAATTCAAAGCTTGTGTTCTGGCTAAGGCTCATCCGGCCTCTTCACTGCTGCCGCTGTAACTGGGTGGAACACGTACTAGGACCATGTGCGAGTCATCATCACGGCCACTGCCATTAACAAGCTGCTGCAACAACAACAACAACAACAACTACTACTACTACTACTACTACTAGTAGATACTACTACCACTGCTGATTCTTCGACTACTACTACCACTACCACTACCACTACCACCACGACGACGACGACGACTACTACGACTACTATGGCGTCATGCTAATCCTCACTGGGTTGCACGGGGTTCAGTGCAAATGCCTCGCCAAGAAAGCTGTTCAGTGCCAATACCTCGGAGGACTCTTGCTTGCTGACATCATGCGGGTAGTTCTCCAAATGAGGGTCCCGTTTTAGGTCCCCAATATAGCACGGCACCCTTATAAAAGGACTCCAGAAGGGACCCTAATTTAGAAAACTACCTATGTGGTTCAGTGCTAAGTCATCCCACGCAAAGCTCCAAGCCTGGATCTCCTCAGGGCTAAGGCCCGTGAGCTGGCTGGGATACTTGAACGTGCCGGCCTGCCGAAATCGAAATGGATTTCGACCTCTGACTTCTTGGCTTTTACCGGCGGTAACTCATCTAATTTGTACTGTTTCAGTAGGATATGTATACATATATTCTGTGCGCATATGTCAATGTTGTGCTTGTGTGTACATGTGTGAGGCAATTTCAGGCCACCAGTTCGGCACGCTTACCGTAACAGCGGGGCCGAGAACCAAAACCAATATGCGCCCATAGCCTTGTGGAATCTTGGATCTTGATTCCGGGCCCTCTATCTGTTATTCGGTCCGTTGTGCATGTTCAAATCGAGGCCAATCTTTTCTGGAAGTCTTGGTCCTTGGTTCCTGGGCCCGCAGCCGCGTTTATGAACTCGGCGCTGTGTTGTCAAGATCGGGCCTGTGATTTGCACTAGCTACTGCGGCGGAGAGGCATGCCTGCTAAGGATCCTCTCTGTGCCTGGACCGACCTATATACCGAGGCGCGCACTGATTTCCGAAGAACGGATGGCATAGGAGGAGGGTGAGGGCGGTGAGGGCTTGCCATATTGCGAGACCCTCAACCAAGAGGCTGCTGGAAGACGGGCTGTGAGACGAGCTTCCACCAACAGCATCACGCGAATCACGTATCCAGATTCTCCACTGAAGGAGTCTCCAATGCGCTTGTAGAAGTTTCTCGCGGTCTGGACCATGGCCAGCCCCATGTCGTACCCGTACCCATGAGAATGACAGCAAGATGGAAAGGGAAATGAAGGGACCAATGGATCGTGAAAGAAGCAGGACGAAGCCAGGTAGGACCCCACACATCCTCAGAACCACGTCAGGGGTTGCTGAACTGTCCAAGGGTGATCTTTCTGGCCAATATGGCGGAATCGCAATGTTGGATAAGGGATACGGAATGGGATTGTTTGGCTGAAGGAACACGCTGGAGACTCACGTGGCCTGTGGCTCGAGAATTCTGGAAGTGCGGCTGACGCAGGTTTCGTGACAGCTGCCGCTGGCCAGGTGGTTGGAGAAGCTTCGAAAGCAGTTGCTCCAGGTCTCGAGAACCTTCAACAAGGGAGGCTCCTGGCCTCTAAGCTTGCGTGGTGCTGTGGTGCAGCCCTAAAACAAGTCCTCGCGAACTCCAAACGCTAAACCCAAAACGCCATGGAGCAAAGCTGAAAGCCTTAAGCTGGCCTGCTTGCCTGTCTTTGTCGATGTCTCCTGACCGATTCGATGCAGAAGGAGAACAAAACAACCGCAACTCAACAGACAGCAACAACGACAACAACAACAACAACAACACCAACACCAACACCAACACCAACACCAACACCAACAACACCAACACCAACAACAACACCAACAACAACACCAAC